ATAAACACATTTCATTACACCAAATACACAAAATAATGTTCTTTTTAGCAGCATCATATGACCCCTTTAATCTGAGTGGTTCAAAACTCGATTACTTATTTTTTTAGAAATGCAATCTAAACAAACAAACAAAAAGATTGACTCCATTCAGTAAGGCTAAATGGTTATGAAAAAGTCAAACCTTGACTGTTCGCAGTCAAAATCCCTATGGATCGACCATAATAAATGAATTGGAAAATGCATTTATTTAAAATATGTTTTGAATAAAATCTGTATACCAGAAAGTTGAACGAACACACACAAAAATGAAGGGACGAGGCTTTAAAACATCCTGAGTGCAAATCATTAAAAGATTCACACACACACACACACACACACACACACACACACACACACACACACACACACACACGTACGTCATATTCTTTTTCTTTTCCACCTGAAGGCAGCAGTCTGCCACAAATACATTATACATTTCCATCCAAGTGTACATTTTTAGAGTAGAGAGGTTTGCGTATTTGCTTTTTTAAATGATGGTGAAATAGAATAATTTACACATAAATAAGAGCTGCATAATATCTAAATTAGTGCTGTCAAACGATTAATCACGATTAATCGCATCCCAAATAAAAGTTTTTGTTTACATTATATATGCGTGTGTACTGTGTATATATATTTTTTTCTGAAATATATACATGCATGTGTGTGTGTTTATATATACATAATAAATATACACAGTACCCTGATTCACGTTGCTATCAGATCTAGGAAGACCAACCTTTTAGTATCAAAGCAAAAATCATAGTGTTTCAGTTCAGTGTTTAAACCAAGGAACATTCAATGGCAAAACTTCAGCTTGCTCAAAAGACAGATCTGTCCACATTTAATTCAGCCCTGGGAATGTGGGACCCACTTTACATTAAAGGAATCTTTCACCCAATAACATATTTTGATTTAAAAAGCTGTGCATCTGTCAAAAATGACCCGCCAACAAAACTTCCTTATACATTTCTTGTTATGCTATTTTATTTCCAAATATTGGATTACATTTTTTTTAATCAACTTGTTTTATTTCAAACAGCACAGGTTTTGTTTTTGTTTTTTGAACTGATTGATCATAGGCTTAATTAATCTGAGTGTATGCACCTCAATTTTTGAGTCAAAATTGACAAATTAATCCACAAATAATGCTTTTGTTTACTCAAAAACTGAGGTGCATGAGCTCAGATCAACTTAAAAGGTTTTAGCTGTTAACAGTTGGCCAACAGTCTGGGGCAATGTATTCAAAATGGTTTACTCTGTCACATAACACAGGCACAGAACTGGGTGAAAATGGACAGCTTTTTTCCTAACAGCAGCTCTTAAAAGCCATCAGGATTTCTCTTGCAGCTGGTGTAGCCAGAGAATAACAGGGCACTTAATGAAAAAGGACACTCCTCTCGCTCTCGGGCGGTGGGAGCGTGTTAAAGCCTGGCAGCACTGTAAAACCAACACATCCACGTGTGATGATTCTGGCTGTGCTGTTTTGACAGACTAGCTTGGTTAACCCTAACATGTCAGTCTCAAGCTTTATTACGCAAAGACAACACAGCCAAACTAGTGCCCTGTGTAATATGTATCTGTATTGATTGTAAATGGATATACAGTCGTCACAGGACAATTCTGTCATTGTTTTCATATATTTCTGTGTATGTGTGTGTGTTAAGTCTCTTAAGCTCATCAAGGCTGTTGCATTTATTTGATCAAAAATACAGAAAAAACTGAAATATTGTGAAATATTATTAGAATTTAAAATAATGCTTTTCTATTTTAATATGCTTTAAAATATATTTTATTTCTGTGCATCATTACTCCATTCTTCGGTGTTACATGATCCTTTAGAAATTATTGTAATATGCTGATTTATTATCAGTGCTGGGAACAGTAGTGCTGTCAGGGAAAAACATGGATTCAGTTTGCAGGTTCAACTCAAATTTATTTAACTCTCAAAACACAAAACTCATCTGGGACTGAAGACCAGAAGCCGTAATTCAGGGCAGAGATTAGAGACAGGAAGAGGGGAACAGTCCAAATGAGCCTCCAGTCACTCCACTAGGCAGAAAGGGTAAGGCGTAGGGAGATCAGCGCACACAGTCCCAGCGTCAATGCTGACGCAACATCAGAGTAGAGAGAGAGAACAGCGCACAGGGTCCAAGCGTCGGTACTGATGCAACGTCAGGGCAGAGAGTTCCTTGTTGAGTGCGCCGAGAGGGGCAGGAGAGGATAGGCCGCAAAGCGCGGTTCTGGTAATGCCAGGGCAGGAACTGGGGAACAGAAATCTGGAGAAACGAGAGGCAGAGAGCGAGCCGAAAAGAGAAGACAGACTGAAAACACTAAACTGTACTTAGTGCCTATGAAAACACGGCAGGACAAAACACAAAAAGACTGGTAGTAGGTCACGAACGAAGTGTAGCGTGTTCACACCACAATGGTCAGACACAAGACTACACACGAGGGGAACTTAAAAAGAGGGAGAATTAAGGAATTAACAAGTCACAGGTGTGACGGCAGCTAAAGTAGTTAATAAGATAACGATGGGGAGGGAAACCACGAAGACAATGGGTCTCATTCACTAAACATGCACAGGCACAATTTTTTTGCGTGAAATGTGCGTACGGACGTTTTCACGAGTAAATCATGATTCATCAAAAACTTTCGTACTAAAATTTATTCTAAATGTACGAAAAAATTCAAGAACAACTTATACCACACGTACGCAATAATGTACGCCCGGGGGCCTTATAAGCATGTGTAAAGAACCCTACATATAATTAGATATGTTATTTACAGGGTGGGTGAAAAGTAACTAGACATTAAAATTGATAATGTATAATTAGAGGTCCAATTATATATACATAGTGGTGTGAAAAAGTGTTGGCCCCCTTCCTGATTTCTTGTTTTTTTGCATGTTTGTCACACTTTAATGTTTCAGATCATCAAACAAATTTAAATATTAGTCAAAGATAACACAAGTAAACACAACATGCAGTTTTTAAATGAAGGTAGACTGTACCCATGTGCGTATGAAAGCACCATCCGCAAATGCAATAAACTATGTGAACAGAAAAAATTACCACTCCATCAACGTTCAAATAGTCTGCGATGCCAGCTGTAACATACTAAATGTTGTTGCACGCTGGCCCGGAGGAACTCACGATTCCTTTATTTTACAAAACAGTTATTTAGGACAGCGCTTGCAAGCTGGGGGTGGTGAAGAGGGATGGCTTCTTGGTGAGTAGAAGTGTGCCCAGAATATTTTTTAGTTCATTTAAATAAAGGTTCATTATCATGATGCTTGTTGTAGGTGACCGGGGTTATGGTCTCAAAACATGGCTCATGACACCTCTAGCCAACCCAACGACCCCTCAAGAAGTGTGCTACAACCTGAAACATGCCCGTGCGCGCTCAGTGATAGAACACACAATCGGGTTACTCAAATCCCGTTGGATGTGCTTGGATGCAGCTGGTGGAATGCTGTTATACAGGCCAGACAAAATCTGTCAGATTGTTTTAGCATGTTCGGACGAAATTTTCGAACTCAGTGTGCAATGACCTTAAGTTTACAGATTGACATCTCAATTGTAGAATGGATTGCTGTGGACTGTAGGTCAGCTTTTTTTACGATGTCTATTCAGTGATTTATTAATCTGCGACAATAATATAAAGTCTTTGAATTATCCTAATTTGGAGGCTTTTTTCAGCAAATAGGTAAATGCAATCACAGATATCGGCATCTTCCTAAAACAAGCAAAACGGACAGCAGTGCTGGGTAGATTACTTTCTGTACAAATGATGAAAATTGTTAGTAACTGTGACGAGAGGGGCGGGGCCGAGAGCCGTTACAGTTACTAACAATTTTCATCATTTGTACAGAAAGTAATCTACACAGCACTGCTGTCCGTTTTGCTTGTTTTAGGAAGATGCCGATATCTGGCGCCAGCCCAAGCAGCGCTTCAAGCACGCCTTCAGTTGATACAACATTTATAATGGTATATAATCTCATTCTATTTTTTTAAATAGCTTTTGTAGTTTGCTGCAGTGCGCATTCTATAATTGAGCAAATGGAATTTGTAAAAGTGCTTTTAACGATTGCAAAGAAGTTTTAGGGAATATTAAAACACATCAGAAAACAGAATTTTGCCACAATATATTTATTCACATTTATGCACTTCTGTGACTGCCAAGCAATGCTATCAATTTATCCATTGACTCATTTATTTCCCGTAGGCCAGCTGCCATGTCCTTAACGGCAAGGATGAGGGCATCTTGACTAGCGAGCACCTCGTTGGTCAGGACTCGTGCGCCGGTGCGCCTCTGTGAAGGGGTATAACGAGTGGATTGGGAAGTAGACGGCTGGACTTCAGCTTCTTCATTTCCATCTGCTGTCTGTGGATGTTCTGCACAAGCGGGAAGTTTTGAGTTGTCATGATTACTTGAATACATTCCTTAAAATAAAGATTGATTTAAGCAAATTACCGTGTTGTAATTGCTCCTGTATTAGGTCACTCTCACCCTCACTCCTTTCTATAATGCCGCTCAAGCTTGACTGTCCTATAATTGCAGCCATTCTTTCATCGAA